TCTTTACTATTCAGCCTTATCAAAAAATCATAGTTCAATCTCGACTCTACCGACCTTTAGTCCGGTTCTCATAAAATTTGGTAAGTGGTGTGTCAATATTATTTATAATTCTTCGTGGCCGCTGGGTCAATTACGACCCGCTCAAAGTGTCCATACCTTGGACCATGTGTTTTTATAATTTTGTCGAAACTATTATAAGTCTAGACTGCTAGTTTAAATTAATCTGTTGTTAATTCAAATTAGTCTTTGAGGTCAACTCACACTCGTCCGAGCATTGCAATCGATTCTAATAATTTTGTATGCAATCGATTCTAATAATTTTGTACGCAATCGAAACCAGAAAGGTGTGCCAGAGCGTGTCGAACCCTGGACGATTTTAGGTTAGAGAGATCGAGCACACGGGAGCAACCGTTGTATCGAATATCAGCCCGAAGTGTTTACGGGAAATGAAATTTCAAGGGAATCGTTTGATTCCCCGCGATTCTGTTTCTCTATTGCTACTAGTTGAAATAATACACCCGCTCGAAATACATACACAGGGGGGATCACCGACGCGGATGATGTAACCAATATTTTGAAAGGCACTCGTAACTGCGCGCCGAACATTCGACGCGTATTTTACGCTGTTACATATATACCCGGTGTGCAAAATGTAAGGTCATCCGAATAATTCGACGGAATATTTTGTTTTTTATTTTGTCAGTGCAGTCCACATAGTGTGTTAAGAAGAACAGATCAACCTTAAAAGTTATTATCTTAAATTTGTATTTTCGTTTATTTATGTAATAAAGAACAGTAATTGAGTTATATATAACATATAATATAACTATTAAACGTTTACTAAATAATAACAAATATTTTCAAATGAGAGTAATAAAGTTATAAAAAATATAGTGGGGGCAGCACATGAGGAACCATAACTTTGATCAAATACGACCTGGACCTTACCATTAGAAGGTTAACTGATACGTCTAGCTGCTCATTCAGTAATTTCTGATTATAACAATTGTGAACAATCTTGGTTTCTAGTTATTTTTCGTTTGAAAACAATTTTTAATTCTTTGCCATTTTTATGGCTGTTGGTTTATAGACGTCAGTGTTAATTGGGGAAGTAAACGTGCGCGAGCGCTCGGGAAACTTCTGTGGAACGGGATCGCGTGCGCTCGATCGAGAGGTACGCGCGTTATCATCACGCACGGCACTTAATCACAGGCGAGCGTGTTCACTCGTGTTACGCACGCTCGTCTAATCAAAGCGACGGTACTACCCCGTCGTTATCACTAACGACCGTCGTCTTGGGTCAAGTTCGAGACTCATTATGAATGACCGAGGGGATTCACTGGCACGAAAACGGGGAGAGTCATTCGAGCTTCGATCGGAATAGCCCCAACCTACTTCTTTCGTTTTAATTGGATAGTTACCAATTCCACTCGATATAATAAATATATTGGGATAAGTCAAGTATGGTGGTTTTTCTACTCGTAAATTGTTTTCGGCTACTATGTTTGTGGTACTGTATCAATATTATTCTTGAAAATGTAGGTGACAATAAGCGTGAACTAACCCTAAAATCTTAGCTGACACAATGTTTCACCATTGTTGAAAAGGATAATTTGAAAGACGGAACATATTATGGTAGCGACTTAAATTCTGCCTGCAGCATCAGTGGTTTTCAGCTGTAACACTTATCGAGGTAGTCAAACACTAAAGTCGGGTAGGATCAGTGGTTCCCAACCGTAAGACTGATATGGAAGTTAGTCAAATTCCAAACACACAATTGGTAAGGGTATTTCGTTAACATTATTTTCGAATTGAAAATGTCAAACCATCAATAATATCAGTGGTTCTCAACTGCAATAGCAAACAAGTTAGTCAAATCCCTGATAGGTAATCAATTTTATAATATACCAACAATCGAGCGTGCCGTGAATCATCTCATGCAACGCAGCAGATATCCAACAAAACAATCTTGATCGACGACCAGAACGAAAAGCGAAGTTGTCGGTACTACCGCCAATGATCCACGTGCAAAAAAGAACGATCTTTACGCTCTCGAGTTTATCGAATCGTAACAATCCTATCCGCCGGATAAACAAACCTTGCGGCGCGTTCGATCGTGTTGTTTGCCGATGGGGATTATCTTCGCCTGTGAATCCCC